CAGCTTCAGTCATTTCAGAATCCCCCCCCCCACCAGCCACCTTGCAAATGCCCTTCTTTGCCAGTGAGGCTGACAAAGCCGGATTCTTTCTCGCGTCTATGACCTGCCCCGACTTGGGAGAAACGAGTTCTTGGATTCTGTGGAAGCCCTTGGCCATGTCTTCCAGCAGTGCAGGAGGGTCCCTGTTTGGGTGCCTCCTCCGACCTCTCCGCAAGCAGGGCTGCACTCACAGGGTCTGTCCAGCTCTGGTGTGAGGCAGGTCCCTGACACAATATGCCCAGCAGAAGCCGCTCACTAAGACCTCTGCCTCCTACCAAGGCAGACGCAAGGAAGGAAACAAGGCGGCCTTCACATTTTCCCAACATGCAGCACAGCTTGGGCCCCAAATCACAGCTAAAGGCTTCAAATGAATGTGGATACGACCGCCTCCCTCCTCCTCTGCTGTCGAGCACACCAGCTACAGTGTTTGGCCTTCAGAGAAGAGGAGATTGGATTTATACCCCGCCCTTCACTACCCAAAGGAGTCTCAGAGCAGCTTACGAACTCCTTTCCCTTCCCCTCCCCACAACATGTGGGCGGGGCTGAGAGAGCTCTTGACAGAAATGGCTCTTTTTCAAGGACAGCCCCAACAGAACTACGGCTTGCCCAAGGTCATCCAGCCAGGTGCAAGTGGAGGAGTGGGGAATCAAACCCGGTTCTCCCAGATTAGAGTCCGTGCATTTAACCACTACACCAAACTGGCTCTAGAGGTGAGGCACAAGGTGAGCAGACAGGGCTTTTTCATTGGTGGCCCCTCACTTGTGGAATGCCTTTCTCCCTGAGGATCACCTGGCATCCTATTCCCGTTCAGGAACCTGACCAAACTGTCTCTTTGTACCCAAGCTTTTAATTAAGGGTCGATCAGGCTGCTTTTAGCCCGAGATTCATTTTCAGCCACTACGTGTTTTATGAGAGCCAGTGTGGCATCACGGCTTAGGGTGTCAGACTAGGAGCTGGGAAACCCAGGTTCAAATCCCTACTTGCCATGGAAGCGTGCTGGGTGACCTTGGGCTAGTCACACATTCTCAGCCTAACTTACCCCACAGGGCTGTATGGAGAATAAAATGGAACAGAAGAGAGAGCCAGTTTGGTGTAGTGGTCAGGAGGGCGGACTCTAATCTGGGAGAACCGGGTTTGATTCCCCACGCCTCCACATTCAGCTGTCGGTGTGACCTTGGGTCAGTCACAAGTTCTCTCAGAGCTGTTTTCTCAAGGCCAGTTCTCAAAAGAGCTCTCTCAGCCCCACTTACCCCACAGGGTGTCTGTTGTGGGGAGGGGAAGGGAAAGGAGACTGTAAGCCGCTGCCCTGAGACTCCAAGTGAAGGGTGGGTATCAAGCCAAACTCTTCTTCAATAATCTAAGCCACTTTGGGTCTCCAAGGAGAAAGGAAGGATATAAATAAAAATGAATGCTTTCACGTGACAGAACAGCCAATGCTGGCCAAGTGTTGCTCAAGAAAAATGATGCCTCTCTCTGTCCTTCTCTCTAGCACTGCCTTTCAGATGGAAGCCTGAGCTCCCTTTTTGCTCGTATCTGGCATCTCCACTACCAGAAAGAGGGCCAGGGCCAGGGGGGGCTTTTGCCCAGCAAGGCTTCTGATTGGCCCACTGGAGATTTGATTGGCTGTGCAGGTCTTTTAAAATGCTGTTTTAGCAGGAGCTCCCACCGCCACAATACAAGGGTGTGTGATCGAAGGTAAACCACGGCAGCCCATTTTGTGGCTGGCTCCACCTCATGCAGCAGCCGTCTTATGGCACCAATTCTGTGGCTGCACCGACCCTGCAGAGTCAGAATTCCCAAGGTTCCTGCAGGCTCAAAAAGGTGGCGGACTCCTGATCTGCGTGAAGTCTCCCAGATTGTTTCTTTGACTAATTGGTTGAACAAATGCCTTCCAACAAGGAAACCTCCTTCTACCGTGTCTGTTGAGACAATTCCTGTGGATCTTCTGACAGACATACGGCTTTTCAGAGAGCCAAACAAACAGCCACTCAGCTCGAAAGCAAACCAAAACTTTGTATTATGGCTAAATGCAAGGTACGATGAACCCACTCGTAACTCTCATGGTGGCCATGGAGACTGCCTCGGGAGGTGGTGGAGGAGGCTCCTTCGCTGGACGTTTTCAAGTGGAGGCTGGACTATCTTCCGGCTGTGCTCCTGCAGAGGGCAGGGGGTTGGACTAGATGACCTGCAAGGCCCCATCCAACTCTAACGTTCCATGATTCTATGAAACGAGTTCCCAGATCTTGCAGAAATTGGTTTCCCCACTTTTCTGAATCTTAAATGAATCTTGGGAGGTGAAGCACCATACAAACCACAGTGAATTTTAAGAAGCTGGGGTTTTTTTTGTTTTTGTTTTTTACTAAAGACTCTTGTTATAAATTACACAAATAACTTTATAAACAAATCCTCCCCACCCAAAACTCGCATTTTGTTTAAAGTAATAAGTTTATCAATACAAATAAAGAAATTTCAAGTATGAAAAGTGCATTATTGCAATAATACCTCTTTGCAAGTCCAAAAAGTTCTTGGTTTAGGGTAAAACTATAAAGTGTAAAAAAAAAAAAAAAGGAGTAAAACAATCAGTGCCATCTAGTCAGTCCAGGAGTCCAATACCTTAAAATCCTGCCTGGTGTGCTACTGGAGGGGCAGGTTTGCATCAGGAAGTCGGGCTTTGTGTCTCTCTCTTCCCTCCCCCCCTTAAATATCCGTCCGTCCGTCCAACCTGCTGAAATTAGCTGCTGCCGTGAACAGAAATCCCCAGCCCACAATTCCATGGGCCCCCTCAGCATCAACCATTCTGTGCCGCTGTTTGCATATTGCCGACTTCTTCGTCCTCTTCATGGGTCCGTTTCAAACTTCCTGTAACGAAAGGCAGATTCAGTTGGAAAGCCTGGGCGAGAAGACGGACAGAAGGTTTAACAAACGGGAAAGGCCGTAGGGACGAACCAGACGTGATAAAACATCCCCAGGGGCGAGAGGAGTAGTGCGTTTGTCTGCAGCAGTAGAAAAGAGAAAGAGTCCAGGAGCACCTTCAGGACTCACAAAATTTATAGCAAGAGATGAGATTTTGTGAGTCGCTGCTCACTTCTTCAGATACAGGGACGTCACTGCCATTTTTAAAGTAATTTTAAAAAGCGACAGTGGCCCAAGGCACTCGTTTCCCCTACCTTATCAAGAGTCCGAATTACCACGCGCACCTCTCTGCTGTCTCGGCACTGGAAAAGGCGGGGGTGGTGGTGGTGAATGATGCTGTGGGACTAATCAGGATCCGGCCCTCATGGCATTATGAGATCACTATAAAAATGGTGGCAGCCTCCTCGTGGCAGACACGAGGCCACTCTCACGTCTAGCTTGGCTCTTTGTTTGCATGGGACAGAACAGAGTCTGCAAGAAAGGTTTTCATTTTTCCTTGGATTATGAATCCCCCTCATGTGCATTCACAGCTAGTAAGATGTGTTTTTATCAATAGTGTCCTTTTTAAGACGACTGCAAAATCTGTCATAATAAAAGAAGATAGATCAAGGTGGGTATCTGAAGAAGTGAGCCGTGACTCACAGAAGCTCAGACCCTGCCACAGATTTTGTTCATCTTTAAAGTGCTACTGGACGCTGGCTCTTTTCTAATAAAAGAACAGCTGGTTTTTATCTCCTGCATTTCTCTACCCTAAGTGGTCTCGAAGCGGCTTATAATTGCCTTTCTCCTTCCTCTCCTTACAAGAGGCACCTTGTGAGGCGGGTGGGGCTGAGAAAGTTGAGAGAGAACTGGTGACTGGGAAGGGAAAGGAGGCTGTAAGCCACTCTGAGACTCCGAGTGAAGGATGGGGTATAAATCCAATCTCCTCCTCTTCTTCCAGTGTCCTTGCATCTGATCTGGCTATAACGAAGGCATCACCCTTCTGCAAAAAAGGGCACCAGTGGAGAACCAGCTCCTGGCGACCACCTCACACACAACCTGAGCATCATGTCAGTCATGGGATCAGGAGTGTGTGACCAAGCTGTAATTCTGAACCTGAAGGGGGAGCGAGTGGAACCCGCCCCAGCACAGGCCGCTTCCCATTCATGGGATTTGCACCTTCTCCGGGTTAAGCTTCAGTTCAAGCTGGTTTGACCCGAGCAAAGACAGAATACAGCCTAGGAAAAGATCCTGCTGCCAACACAGCCTGGAGGGTGAAGCTCTCCTCTTTAAAACAAAATGGAGGTTTGGACAGCCCCTTCCACAGAAGTAACCGGCATGAGCAGGGGTCACTTCCTGCAGGAGCGCACAGGAGCGGAACTCCGGCAGTAAATAGCCCAGGGGGCGGGCACATGAAACAAGCCCCACCCCCTGCTCCCAGCAGCCCTCAGTCAGAGCAAGAAGCAGCCAGGTAAGCTGCAGAGCTCTCCCCAGCCCCCGGGTTCAAAACAGTCCAGTGGCACCTTTAAGACCACGTTTTGTTCAGGTACAAGCTCTCCCTCCTCTGCGAGTACAGAGCTGGCAAAAAACCCCAATAGCTAGCAATCCAAAACAGTCCAGTGGAGCCTGATCGGTGGGTGTTGCCTTCTGACACACTTCCGGTGATGTCAGGGGGCGTGGCATATGCAAATTAGTTATGCTAATGAGCTCCTGCACCTCTTTTTCTACGAAATGACCCCTGGGCATGAGTAAAAGACCAACCCTGTAGCCCTGACCTGGATAGCCCAGGCCAGCCCAATCTCGTCAGATCTCAGTAACGAGGCAGGGCCGACTTTGGCAAGTATTTGGATGGGAGACCTCCAAGGAATACCAGGGCTGTGAGGCAATGGCCGGCTCTCGAGCCACTTCTCCGAACGTCCTCCGTGCCCCTGCGAGTGTCGCCAGTGGTCACCATGACTTCCAGGCATGGGCGCACGCACACACACACACACACACAGAGGCCAGCCCGGTTAGGAGGATGTTCTTTCTGGTGGGCGGGAGGGTGCAGCTGCGCCGGGAGATCTCACCTGTGGTGACAGACAGCGAGCGTTCCAGCTGCCGAGGGGACATCATCTGGATGGTGAGCTTGGCGAGATAGATGGCTTCGTATTCCTGCAAAAGGGAGTCGCGTGACTGGCCCTGCAGACATCCGGGGGGGGGTGTCTTGCTCAAGCAGCCCCCGAGACGCAAGAAGAGGGAGGAGGGGGCCAAAGGGACCCAAGGCAGGAAGAAACAAGGAAGACGGGAACGACACTCTTCTTAAACGGAGGAGGGGACGGACACTGTCATGGCTCAGGTGGGGTGTCACCTGACGCTGCCACCACTCTGGTTCCAGGCTCCCTTGAGAAGGCCCAGAGCCCCCTCCCAAGACCTTCAGACCTCCCTTTTGGCTGAATAACAGGCGTGAGGACCAGGCAGAGTGAAACAAGGAAAAGGTTTATTGTATAGGAGGTCAAACAAACAAGGTGCAGAATAATAACAGTAAGTGGGTGAAAAGAAAAGAAATCAAATGCCCTAACGCGTCTCAATATACACTGTCCCTAGCTCACTATCTGCAGTGGCCTTACTCACCCTTCCCTCAGGATGAGGGTCTCTCCCCTGCAGCAGCCTTCCTTCTGGCTCTGCCTTCTTGGAAGAAAGAACAGCTTCTGCTCTGGCACCAGCCCTTTTGTTCCCCAGCCCTCTTCTTCCCTATTGGTCAATTTTGACTCCAAAACCTCCCAGGGGCTTCTGGGAGTTGTAGGCCCAGCCTCACCTACTGCTAGCCAGGCTTCCTGGGCCTAGTAGGCCTCTGGTGGCACAGCCCAGATTATGACAGACACTTTGGGCTGGATCTCTAGAGGACCACAAGCACAGCTCTGCTGGCATTTATTGATTACTTCCATTGATATCCCACCCTCCCCACAAACAGGATCTGGGCGGCTTACGTTAATCGGCACAAGGTACCAGAAAATCCACGTGAAACATTTAAGACATTTTAAAACAAGCGAATAATCAAAGTGCTGGCACTAATCATCCCTTCGTTAATTGAAATGGCGTGCTATATGGCGTAATAAGCACGATTTCAGACTCAATGATCTTCCAGCATCATGCAAAGGTATGGCTTGATCTCCAAACTGGGGCCAGCCCGTTACCACAGATGTCGGTGGTGTCGGGGGCGGCTCCTAGTCGAAAGCCTGGCAAACTACTTGCAGGCCCTGCGGAACTGTAAAAGATCCCGCAGGGTCCTGATCTCTTCCGGGAGCTTGTTCCACCAGCACGGAGCCACCACTGAAAAGGCCCTGGCCCTGGTGACAACAAGCCTAGGACAGAACGTCCCCCACCTCCTGCTGCAGCCCACAGTACTCCCCCTCTTCCGGAGTTGTGAAACCAAGGCTTGAAATGACTAGGGACTCCCTCATATCTGAACCACCTGAGCCGTTGCAGGACAATGGGATCCAGTGTTCCTTTATGCCCTGACCAGAAGGAGCCGCTTGATCCCTTGGCGCCCCTTGGAGGTAAGTCAGGAAATCCCCATGAAAGGAGAACGGTAGACTTCTAATCCGAATGGAATCAGGCAGCATTCACACTGTTCTGGCAGCCAGGGTTTACACCCCTTTGACAGATCTGCGGAAGGCCGAGCACAGCCCAGGGAGATCGCAGCGAAAAAGGACAGGGCAACTGGGATGACGACGAAGGCTACTGCCTCACCGCCAGCTGCATGCGAAGCCACAGGAAAGGGCTGGCAGATCCCTGAGCCCCTGACTATTGGGCAGTCAAGACCAATGCTCTCTCTAAGCTGTGGAGTCTTGCGAGCAAAAATTCTGCTTTGTGAGCTACTGGCATTAAAGCTGTGAGCGAGCGATTTGGCTGCTGCATCAATTAACTTTGCTCCTTCCTGAGCTGAGACAAAAATGTGTGAGCTGGAGGCTAAAAAACTGTGAGCTAGCTCACACTACCTCAGCTTAGAGGGAACACTGGTCCCTCCAGGCTCCGGAGGCTCCGTGCACGAGGACAGCCCAGGCTGGTCTGCATCGCTTCCCGTTCAATCTGATCGGCTGTTGTTTGAGGGTCCTCTGCAACCCTCAGTGCTTTTCGGGGCTCCAAACCCCTGGGGATTATGGGTGGTCTCCGGTTCCTGCTCAGCGTCTGCTGAATGCCTGAGGCAGCAAGACAGGGCTCCCCGACATGGTGCTGCCCGTGGGACCCGCCAAGCTGTTCAGGAAGCATCGCATGTGGCTCTGTCTCCTGCAGCAGCCGTCTTGGGGTGGCGCTCTCCGTGCCCTCTCAAAATGCCACGGCTGCCCACCAGTTCCAAAATGTCGGGGTAAGAAAGAGCCAGTATTAAAAACCTAGTTGAAACTAATATATAAAAATACATGGATTTATCAGAAGGACAGTTAAAAACATATAAGGGCCCAAGGAAAGCTTCGTTAAAAAGTTCAAGTGGCCTCAATACCAGGGCCCAAGACACAGGACCTGACGCGTTCCCGCCCTATTGGGTTCCCACGCGTCAGGTCCAGAGTTCCCTCTGAGTTCGCTCGCAGTTTTTTAGCTTCCAGCTCACAGATTTTTGTCTTCGCTCAGGAAGGATGGCTCCGGAGCAAACTACTTTATGCAGTAGCTAAATCGCTGGCTCACAACTTTAATGCCAGTGGCTCACAAAGTAGAATTTTTTGCTCACAAGACTGCACAGCTTAGAGGGAGCATTGTAGGTCATGTGTCTTGGGCCCTGGTGTTGAGGCCACTTGAACTTTTCAATGAGGCTTTCGTTGGGCCCTTATATGTTTTTAACTGCCTTTCTAATAAAGAAGAAGAGGAAGAAGATATTGGATTTATACCCCGCCCTTCACTTGGAGTCTCAGAGCGGCTTACAAACTCCTTTCCCTTCCCCTCCCCACAACAGACATTCCTGTGAGGTGGGTGGGGCCGAGAGAACTCTGACACAAACTGCTCTTTTTCAAGGACAGCTGTGCCAGAGCTTGTGACTGACCCAAGGTCACATCAGCAGGTGCACGTGGAGGAGTGGGGAATCAAATCCGGTTCTCCCAGATTAGAGTATGCCTACTTAACCACTGAAGCTTCTGCTCTCATAAGGAGCTGCGGTGGCTCAAGTGGTTAAGAGGCTGAACTGCAGGCTGTGGAAGGTCGGTAGTTCAGCAGTTCGAGACCCAAGTGCCGCATGACGGAGTGAGCTCCCGTCTCTAGTTCCAGCTCCTGCCAACCTAGCAGTTCGAATGCAAGAAATTGCAAGTAGATAAATAGGTACCACTTCGGTGGGAAGGTAACAGCGTTCTGTGCGCCTTGGTGTTTAGACATGCCGGCCACATGACCACGGAAACGTTTTCGGACAGCGCTGGCTCTTCGGCTTTGAAACGGAGATGAGCACCGCAACCCTAGAGTCGGATTCAACTGGCTTTCGAGCAAGGGAACCTTTACCTTTACCTTTTTACTTAACCACTACACCAAATACATGCATTTTTGCATATTATAAGTTTCGACTAGGTTTTTAATATTGGCCCTTTATCAGACTTCTTTCTTACCCTTGTGGTTCATGATTCCAGTTTTGGGTCACGTTTGTTTTCCCCTCCCTGTGTCTTACTTCCAAAATGTTGGGGACCCTCGGCTGTGAGCCACTAACCTTCGATGCCTAGCAAGCAGATGGGGTACAAAGTCCACCGCAGAAATTGACAGAAAAAGCCAGATTTCAGCACTGTCCCTATCAACGACCAAGCCACTGTCAGGAAAAAATTAGTCAGGCAAGTGACACATAAATGTTTCCGTTTGAGTTACCAAAGATCAACACGTTGCAGACCAATGTAGGACTGGCCAGACCACCACCATCTATATCACCAACTGGGGGGGGGGACAGGGGGGCGCTTACCTGAAGTTGATGAACAAATCCAGCATTGGGATTGATACAGAACCGTCTTTCTTGCACGTACGTGAATGCATCCCTGCGCAAGAAAGAAGACAACCCGTTTTCATATGTAATCCGTACCCATTTGCATTCACTTCCTTACAAGCTCGCTCAGCGTTTTCTTTAATTCTGTGTTTTCTGTACATCGGGGTTTCTTAGCGTTGCAGCCGCCAGGAAAAGTCCCGCTGGGCTGATGGCCTGGGGGAGCCACCTCTCCTAAGCCGGCCCCACCCAAACAGCAGGAGCCACCTCACCTGCCCAGCCAGCACGGCAGTTGTGAGAGGGGCCATGGCTCAGTGGCAGAGCCTCTGCTTGGCAGGCAGAAGGTCCCAGGTTCAATCCCCGGCATCTCCACCTAAAAGGAACAGGCAGGAGGTGAGGTGAAGGACCTCTGCCTGAGAGGCCCGGAGAGAGACTGCCGGTCTGAGTAGACAGTCCTGACCTTGCTGGACCAAGGGGCCTGGGTTCTGTAGAAGGCGGCTTCGTGTTTGTTCGAGTCATGCTGCGGCCAAGCCAGGCAGAGCCAGGTGACTCATCGGGGTCCGGCCTCCCTCCATCAGGGGTGTGGCCCTTTCCAGGGCCATTTTGGCCTCTGGTCTGGGTTCAAGGCGTGCAGACTGGCACGGAAGGGCTCCCGGGAAGCCTCACACGAGGCCAGTTGTCACCTGAGCACCTTTTCTTTACAACAGAGGATGCTCCCAGGTGGCCTGGCAGTCCCCTAACACCACATTGAAGGGGGGGCTCAGCTCACTGGGCAGATCTGCCGTGCCCGGCCTACGGAAACTGACGGGCCTGGGGAGACTTTGCTGGGGTATCATTCGCCATGTCCTCCACTGCAGCCATCATCTGAGGCGGAGGACACAAAGCTATGGCAGAAGCCGGCTTGCATTCAGTCCAGACACTGAAGATGAAAATCCAGACTGCCCCCCACTAGATCAAGACACAGCTCTCGGCCAGGAGCCTTTTCACCTCGGTCAGGGCACTGGAAACAGGTCTAGACTCTCCTCTAAACCCACCTTACTATTATTTATTATTTTCGATTTACATTCTGCTCTCCCCGCAGGAGCAGGCTCAGGGACACCCCCCCACACACCATTTTACGCTGGGAGGGGAAAGCACTGTTGGCAGCTCCCCACTCTTGCCTGCATTATACACTGAACCCTCCCACCCCCCCCAAAGCACACTTGTTGGGTCTCTGCCACCGCCTGGTGATAAAGGCCACGGGAGCCCAGCCCTGACCCGCTGGGAACACAGCTTTTCATGAGAGTTTCAGCCACAAAGACGCCTCGCCCTAGATGTGCTCACAGACCTATTCGCCGCCACCACCCGTGGGCACTGTTTACAAAGCCACAGGTGCTCCAGGTAGCCACTGAGGCCAGCTGAGATAGGGAGGGCAGAAGCAGAGGTCAGCCAAGGACGAGGAGGGGGGTTCCTGAAAATGGCTGCCACCGGAGGCCCAGACTAGGCAAAGGCCTTCTCAGTGGCGGCTCCTACCTGGAGGGACGAGCTCCCGGAGGAGATCAGGGCCCTGCAGGACCTTTCACAGTTCCGCAGGGCCTGCAAGACGGAGCTCTTCCGCCAGGCTTTTAATTAGGAGCCGCCACTACCACCACCACCACCAACTACTCTGTGGTAACAACAGGGTAACGGGATGGCCCAGTATATAAATCTCACAGCAGTATTGAGATAAGTCGATGCCGTTGATGCGGCCTTTTGGGTATGGTTATAGGTCACCATCTTGATTTGACTAAATTGATAACATCTTTGAGCACTTTATTAGTGTTGATGATGGTTGTTTTTATGCGTGATTTTATTGTTTTACTGGCACATGCTGCCCTTATTTGTAAGCCGCCTGCGCCCGTTCGCGGGGAGGGCGGGATATAAATGTAATGATAAATAAATAAAATAAAATAAGTGCTCAGACCAGAATGGGGACACCATTCAGAATTATGCGCTGTTCTTTATGCACCCATACTACCACCCTGGCAGGGGCCACAGCTCAGGGGGAGGACGCAAGTTCCCCACATCTCAGGTCCCAGGTTCACCCCGGGCACCTCCAGTGGATGGATCCCAGGCAGCAGTGAAGCAAAGGAATCGGGAGAGCCATCGCCAGTCAGGGGGGTGAGCTAGTGCTCAGCTGCGAGACGGGGAAAGAGACGGCCGGCCTGGAGCCTCACCCCCCGCCATCCTTGGTGGCCCCCAGCCCCAAAGACAGAAGGAGGCGCTGCCATGGAAGGTCCCCGTGGGGCGGGCAGGACTGGCAGCTGCCCCGCCCCCTTCATCACAAAGGCTCTGGCGAGGGGGGAATTGTGGCTGGATCCAGCTCGCTCATGATCCCGGCGGTGGTGAGCAGCGTTCCCTCTCAACTGAGCGAGTGTGAGCGAGCTCACCATTTTTCAGCCTCCCGCTCACATATTTTTGTCTTCGCTCAGGAAGGATGCGGCTCCAGAGCAAGCTAATATATGCAGGAGCCAAATCGCCCGCTCACCACTTGAATGCCGGGAGCTCACAAAGTAGATTCTTTGCTCACAAGACTCCACAGCTTAGAGGGAGCATTGGTGGTGGATCTCTTGGAAAACCCATTTGGACCACATCACGCTCAGTGGCTCAAGGGGGGAAAAGCAGGATCATACGGTTCCGTACCTGTACTTCACCCCAAACGTTTCCATAATATATGCGATAACTAAGGCAGCGCTGGAAAGAGAAAAAGGAAAGAAAAGAAATAAGATCAGGGATCCAATAATGGCTGCACTCTGGGAATGCTAAAAATAAAGAGAAACCATCGTTACCTTCTGGAAATCCCTGCGTTCCCATGGACAAGAACTTTCCCTGAGAACGGAAATAGTTACTTTACACAAGCGGGCTAGAATCCCGGCCCCCCCCCCCAACACCAATTGCTTGTTTTTAAAGACTAGATTTACACTTCAACAAGAGGCTTCCCAACATAACATGAGCTCAATCAAGACTTGCTGCAAGGCATCAGTAGAAGAATCTAAAGCACCTCTGAGCAAAACGTCAAGGGACCCTCTGGTGTCTGACCCAGGGAGCTTTGGACTCTTGAATGTGCACACCCTCGAAACCTTGTTGGACCCCTCAGGTGCTGCTGGAAGCAAATCCAACTGTTCTAAAGATCAACCTCTCCCTTTGGGCCTCCACGTTCTGCTGCGGTCGATTCCCCAGCCTCTAAGTAACCTGGGCGTTGAAAGCGGGATACAAAGACTCCCCCCACCCACCATTCTCCCTCAGAACGTGCTTTTCATTGAGAAAAGTTTGCTCTGCAAACAAGAAGGGCCACCTGGTTTGGAAAGCACCCCTTTTGCCTTCTATCTATAACCAGCATGCCCCACCCCCCAATGCCACCGTCTCAATACTCACTTATATCTCATTAGGACAAATTAGGCAGGCAAAGAGAAAAGCAACATACCTCCAGTTTGTAAACTGCCATCAATAAACTCCTTAGTCTAAAGGGAAAACACACAAATTCCATTCCGATTACAGTCGGCTCAGAAATCCGTACATCCGTACAGCAGGATTGGTGCCCACGGACAGTCATGCACTCTTCAAGTACCACAAACACCAGGGAATCCTAAAGAACTTGCGCTCCATAAAGAAAGTTGATATGAAGGGTATGGAAAATGAGGTTTGCGATCACTGGTGGCAGACTTAAGAAAGATGCCCTTCCTCGAATATTGCCAGCTTTCAGCCTGCTTTACACCCACAGGGACAATTTAAGACTGATGGAGGCTTGCTCAGACTGAGGTCTATGATCACAGGCTGGAGGTGGATAAACCTCCCTCCTCTCTGTGGCTGGGTGCCGTGCTCCAGGATGCACAACTGCAGCCATGTCTGCAGACAAAATGCTTCCTGTGGTGGGACCGGTCACCTTTTAGCGCACGGTTGCACTTATCTTGTCACCATAAACATCGGCTTTCGCACAGCCGCACTTCCCTACAGAAAGCTGTTCTGAGAAGCGCACTCTGGACATGCTTGTGCATGTTCTGTTCCACCACATAGGAATAGTGGGAGGATTCGAACGGCCCGCCAAAGCGCCTTCGGTTCCGGGCCGACGGAGAGGCTCATCCATCATCTCCCCCATTATTGCCTTCTAGGCAAAAAAAGTGAATGGAGAGTCCTCCGAGAGGAGTCATTTTTAATATCAGTGTGTTGTCTTTAGAGTGTCAACGTGACGGGTCTCCACAGTTACAGAACTGAGGTTCCTATCATTTGCTTTTTGTTCATCCAGAGAGGATTGACACAGTCACCACAGCTGGGAAGCAGCAAGGTGAGGAAGAGAAACCTGTGGCTCTTCCCAGTGCCTCTGGAAACACCCGGTGTGCCAGGACCTCTGCACAATATGCAGATGGCTATGCATTCAGGTAAGCCACCGGTTTGGGGAAATCACCCTCCAAAATGCGAGCCGTGGACAGTGGCGAGGGGAACAACCAATCCCTGAAGCCACTGGCCACCCCAGCAGACAGATGCCATGTATTTTTTAGGATCAAGATTAGCATGGCTACTGGGGGAGGCAACAATCACCATACTGGTCGACTCTTCCCCCTCAGCACTCGCAGGGCTCTAGGACGAGGCACAGTCCACCGGGAAGGTCTCCCGCACAAATGGCGTTAAAAGGAGAGCGCGCTGTGCATTATGTTTCATAAGCGGCCCCGAGACTGTGTGCTCGTGCACGGCTGCCCTTCACGGCAATGCCACTTGCACAGGGGAACATTATGCTGCTCACCTGTTGGAGGCGGCTGTCCTTTGAACGGTCATCGGGGCATCACATGGATGGGCTTTGCGCCTCTGCAGAAACTGGCATTCAGAAGCGGTTGGGAAAGAAGACCTCCCCGTTCAGGAATGCAGACTCAGACGGCGTGTGCGCCGAAGGGAAGGAGCGGCAGCGTCCTGCTCAGTTGCTTCCACAATGTGCAAGTAAAGGTAAAGGTTCCCTTGCTCGAAAGCCAGTCGAGTCCGACTCTAGGGTTGCGGTGCTCATCTCCGTTTCAAAGCCAAAGAGCCAGCGCTGTCCGAAGACGTTTCCATGGTCATGTGGCCGGCATGACTAAACACCAAGGCGCACGGAACGCTGTTACCTTCCCACCGAAGTGGTACCTATTTATCTACTTGCAATTTCTTGCTTTCGAACGGCTAGGTTGGCAGCAGCTGGAACTAGAGACGGGAGCTCACTCCATCATGCGGCAACTCGGGTCTCGAACTGCGGAACTACCGACCTTCCACAGCCTGCAGTTCAGCGTCTTAACCACTTGAGCCACCGCAGCTCCTTAATGTGCAAGTAGAGGAAGTTAAAAGAATCCGTTGCAGGGAAGGTAGACGTGGTGTGTGAATGCACGGATAGCCACAGCCAAGCAACCTGTTCTTACTTTTTATGTGGCTTCTGTGCATCACACTATTGAGTGGACTGCTGACAGGTGCGTCAATGGAAGAGGGAGTGAAGCATAGCATGCCCAAACCATGCACCACTTCTGGCTCACGCACCAGGGACGCGGCACTTCATAAATGCTGCTGTCCGAACCCAGGTAGTCGCACGTCTCTACTGACAGCTGAAGTTGATGCTACAGCTCTTATAGACTGATTCTTAGGAGAGGTGCCTTGGCCAACTCACGGCAGAGACAAATTGTGCCAGGATATCCAACCAGACATTGGGATGATGTGCACTAGTCTTTCTCCATCGCAGAACAGCAGATGCATAGCGCAGGATATTTGACGAACTCCTTGGCACAGTTGTGATAGCCTTTCTGGCGCCCAAGAAGAGGAGAATCTTCTCTGCGCCCGACAGAGCTAAAGGCAAGCAGAGCAAGGGTTTGGTCCAGATGAAACCCCGGCACCGCCTTAGTTAGGAAGAGATGTTAGGTCTGAGGATCGCCTTCTCTGTAAGAAACCATAGGGATGGGGGATTGGAGCGGAGTGCAGACGGCACCGATGCCTGGTCTTGCAAGACCACCGCCACAAAAGTGGTCTTCCACAAGAGAAGCTTGGTATCACAGGTGGCCACGGGTTTGTAGGGCCCGACCAAAAGTTGAGTCAGGACAAGAGGCAGGTCCCATGCTGAAGTCGGGGACTGTGCTGGCAAATATAGCCAAATGAGGACCCTGAAGGTCTGCACGCATTCTTGGATGAGACAGAGGCTGAGAAGTGGAGAAAGATGCTGGATGGCCCTTGAGTGACGGCTGCTCCGGTCCCAGAGACTGACAGTAGAGAAGAGACTGCAAGATGGGCGCGGCAGGGGACAGGTAGATGGGTCTCCTCCACATTTGGAAGCAAACATGGCACAGCATGTCCGCCTGTAGCGCTGCCTGGTAGGCGGCTTCCTCCCCTTCAGGGCATACACGGTCCAAGGCTGCATTCTTAAACGGGGTGGTGGAGGTCTTTGTGCCGAAAACCAAGCTCAGAAGGTTCTGAATGCCAGCGCAAAAAAGTTGGAAGTATTGTTGTTTATCGAGGATGCCCATCCCTGGGAGGTTACTGCCATGTGGTCTTTGTGGCTCACGTGGGGCGTGAGCCACAAAGACCACATGGCAGTAACCTCCCAGGGATGGGCATCCTCGATAAACAACAATACTTCCAACTAGGGGGAGGATTCACAAAACTGTAGCTGCACCAACTACAGAGGAGGTCATGCATTAAGGGGCCTTTTCCACTTCAAGAAAAGCCGTGCAAATCATCCCAGAAAAAAATGCTTTGTGGGCATCAGTGACGGTCACTGCTGGTGTCACCATGGGAGTAAGGAAAAGCGACTGAAATGCTTCGGGGGGAGGGACGCCTTCTTGCTCTCACACAACCCACTGAGCTGCATTAACATGAGTTAGTGCGGTGCTGCTCCTGAACCGTTTTAAGTATGAAACTCACAAGCCAAGATAAACACTTACCATAGGGAAAAATCTTATTATATTTTCAATGGGATTATCTGCAATATCCAAGACTAAATACCTACAATTAAAATAAGCGTGTTAAATTCACAGCCAGGATTGCTCATCTTGTAGAGTGCAAACATTGAGCTCGGAAATAATCAGAAACGGAGATGGAGAAGCCAAGTTAAAATGCAGACTCCCGACGGATGCTGCTGCAGTGGTGTCTGACTACAGCCCAGAGAACCTCTGGGAGGGAGCACCCTGCGGTGCTGGCCACCTTCTCCTTCAATCTCCCCCTCCCAGCTGCCTTGAGTCCCACCACAGTTCGAGCCACGTTTACTTGGCAAACCGGTCTGGAATCTAAGGGGCGATGGGATGCTGCAGGGGTCCCCAACCTTGCTGAACCTGTGGGCAGGCACCTTTGGAATTCTGACACTCTGCGGTTGGGTGCAGCATTAAAAGGGCTGCCACAAGAGGTGGAGCCTACAGAGCCCACTGATGGACCTCCTGTGTGACCCAGAGTGCCGGACTGGATGGGCCATTGGCCTGATCCAATATCGGCTTCTCTTCTGTTCTTAAATCAATAATAACGGAAATCACAGTAGTCCAATCAGCAAAGTGAAACAAAAACGCTGTGACAACTGACACTTAACTAGATGGATAAACCATATCTCAATTACACTTAAAATTCTTTGTCTGGAATATATCCAATAAAGACTTGGTTACAACTCATATCATGTACTGTTATCATTTCTCAACAATATACAAAATCCTTTTGACCTTTTATACACATTGCTCATTCAACAACGATATAGAAAAGTCTCTATCTGGCCAGTTCTATAAAGGAAAGTCCAGTAATTGTTCACAAGAAGATCATAAGAGTAACAGTTTTCATTTACAGTGAAGGTTCACAGAGGTGACTATTTCCCTATAACAGGGTTTCTGGATGAACAGCATGATTCAGTATCTTCATCAGATAGTCTTCCTCAGAACAAAAGAGACTTGCAACGTATCCAAATGTTAAACACAATTAATAATCGAGGCATCAATCTCCAGTTTCCCAAAAGGGCAATGGCTCCAGAACTAACGATGTTGATAAAGCGGTCTTCATTGGATATATTACAGACAAGAGGTAGAGCCGGCATACTTTGGCTGCTGCAGGAGGCAGAGCCAACTACAAACGGGTTGCCCCAGCTAACCTTCAGTCACACAGGGAAGATCTTGGTGCCGTGGTGACAGCTGCTGCTGAAGCAACGTTTTTAAAAATCTGCACAGCCAATCAAATCGCCAGTGGCCAATCAGAAGCCTTGGTGGGCAAAAGCTCCACCGGGCCTGCCCACTCAAGATTAAATCAAGTTATTCTTAAGTGAAGGCATGGTTCCAAACTGGGCTGATTTCTTTTTCTTTTTTGGGGAAAAAGAGGTGCCAGAACTCTCGAGAGGAAAATGACGTTTTCATTCAATCTGTATACTGAAAACTCGTGAACTTTTAAAATTGTTGAAGAGGTTCCTGAACTCTGTTCCGGCGTGTTCCCCCAGGAAAAAAAGCCCTGGTTTCAAGTAATGCTTTTTGGTCTCCCCACCACTTAAGTTCTCCCCCCCCCAAGGTAGACAAGGACTCAGAGAATGTCAACATGAAATGGAACTAAAGTTACGACACATCCTGGAACTCTCCTCTTTCTCCACGTTAAAGGCAGCGCGCCCTTTTGAAGGATGGCTCTTTCAGCACGGGAACGGAACTTCTGAAGCTCGTAGTGTAACTAGAAATAAACCTGTGCCCTGACTGGCAAACGCAACCCAAGTGATCACAAGCCCTCTGAAGGAATTGTGGCTCGTCATCTAAGAGGAGGAGCAGAGACCTGCCTGCTCTGACTGAGCTGATGCGAAAACATGCCCTCGTGTCCCCTGGAGTTACAAAATGGTGGCACTCGTCCCTTCGGCTCCCTTCGGGGACCTAACAGGGCTCCTGAAAAGGCAGCGGGACTGGAAAGCAGCACAGAGGCCTGTCTGGAGCCACAGCGGCTGGAAATCTGAATCTCACTTGGGAAAAGGCCTGTTTTGACGGGGGTGCCCAAATATGCGGTACCCAAACACCGCTTGTGCCACGTCTTAATTTAACCACGGTTCTCTTCCTTTGTCGATCACAATGCAAGTTACGAAGAGACAGATAAAAGAGCATGAAGGAACTCCTGCAAGTGCCCTTCCAACCTTCTGGCGTACTATGGATTGAATCCCATTCATCTGTCCCTCTATTGGCAGGGCTTTACCTTGGTGGAAGGGGCTGCCCCCTAATGCAAAAGAGCCTCTTTCACAGGGGGGGGGCGCAAAAAGATCCCACCTAACACACCTGCCAACTTCTTTGACTCAATGGACCTTTGAAAGAGTCCCAGCCTGAACAATCAACTGAAAGACTCGATAACATAGCCAGTGTTTCTTGAACAAAGCGTCACGGCCGTCATTTTCAGAGTACGGTAGTACTGGTTGCAATGCTTACCTAAATAGCTGCTGGAAGTTTGGTTTAATAAAGTTTGCTTCAATATTTTGCCGTATGCATATGACATGGGTGACCCCATGTTTCTGAAGTATAGGTAGCTGCAAGACAAAAGGTTGGAAGGAAATGAATGCCCCTTTAAGCCCGCCTGTTAAAATAATGGCAGGAGAACAGTTACACCTTTTCGAGTTCCCAATATTTAACTAGTGGACTTAAAAATTAAATAATTCATTCTTTATATTTAAGAGTTCAGTAGGACTGAGATGGTTCAATGCGTGGTTGACTGGCTTATCTACCCGTGACTGCATCTAACAGCAATGTGGCCAGCTGGCCTTATGTGGGCAACAAAGACAGCCAGACCTGACCAACCCACAGAAAAGGCAGAAGTCTGTATAAACACAGGGGACTCCATCCCCAGGGCATATGGGAAAATATGTCTTTGTAAATCAAAAAGAAAACCCTCAAGTGACCCGGTGAGGAGTGAGCATGCTCCAGAAAGGGCAATATTGGCAGCAGCTGAGAGAAGAAGAGGAGATTGGATATATACCCCACCCTTCACTCAGAGACTCAGAGCGGCTTACAAATGCCTTTCCCTTCCCACAACAGACACCCTGGGAGGTAGGCGGGGCTGAGAGAGCTCTTTCGAGGACTGCCCTTTCAAGGACAGCTCTTGTCAGAACTATGGCTTGCCCAAGGTCATCCAGCAGGCGCAAGGGGAGGAGTGGGGAAATCAAACCCGGTTCTCCCAGATTGGAGTCCGCACACTTAACCACGACACCAAACTGGAGTGGTGGTGAAGGAGAAGGATCTGCTCAAGGCTCAGAGGATCACAGTGGGGAGATTTTGCAGGTGTTGGTGGAATTTACAAATCCCATCCCCCGGTGCTTGTATGGAAATACCCAGAATCTTGTACAAGTCACTGTGTGTCAAAGAATCACCAAAAAACGGCTGTTGTGATCCCCACTGAAATCTCTAGAGACTGTCCGGCCCTTTCCAAATAGCTCTGGGGGCAGGGCTCAAGACAGCTTCCCAAAGCAGTTTTCCTGTACGTCTGCTCAGAGGTCTGCTTGCAGACTGAGTAAGTCAAGGGAATCGCACAGATTCTGCTGATGCAGCACGGGCATGCAAGTGCTTTGTGGCTGTGTAATTCAATTAACATGTGACCTAATTTAATGGCAACTTGCTTTGATTTAGAAGCTTTAGAAACGCATCTGAAACTTTTGAAGGTCAGCACGACGGAATAGATTTCTTATTGGGAAAGATTATGGAGTGAATCAGTTCTTAATGCTGATTGAGTTCTGGTTCAATTTGACTTTAGTAAACTCCCTTTCAAACAGTAGGGGGGACCACTAAGCAATGCAATGCATACAGTAACAACTGGCAAATCAAAAAGTGTGTCATTATTCCTTTGTGTGGAATAACTGCTATTATTTGTATGACTCATGTTCATTCACAACATAAAAAGTTTAAGACAGGCATACCTTGCTTTTCATAGCTGAAGAATACGGGCCTAAGAACAACCCAGGTAAAATTTCCTAAAAGGGAAGGGAGGGGGAGAAAACAAAACATCCAATCATACACAAAATTCAGTCTACCTTACCATCAGTTACAGAAAGAAAGACATTACTTGCACTTTAACTGTTCAAGTCTAAGAAGAAGAGAAGAAGAGATTGGATTTATACCCCGCCCTTCACTACCCAAAGGTGTCTCAGAGCGGCTTACAAACTCCTTCCCCTTCCCCTCCCCACAACAGACACCCTGTGAGGTAGGCGGGGCTGAGAGAGCTCTGACAGAAACTGCTCTTTTTCAAGGACACCTCTTATCAGAACTACGGCTTGCCCAAGGTCATCCAGTCAGGCGCAAGTGGAGGAGTGGGCAATCAAACCCCGTTCTCCCAGATTCTCTCACCACGACACCAAACTGGCTCTCAGTTGGCAGAACTTCTCCCTGGGGATTACATGGTGGGGGGGGGGGGGGAATCCTTGGCTTCAGGACTGGTGCTCACCCTGCAAGACGTGTGACCAAAACCAAAACCCCAAATAAGTTCACACAGTAGCGCATGAGCAACACAGCCAACTCTACTGCTGCACTACAGGCACAGTTATCATTGGTGTAGCAACACGAAGAACAGCAACGTGCTAGGAAGGTTAAGAACATCAGAAGAGTGCTGCTGCATCAGACCAGTGGTCCATCTAGTCCAGGATCCATGCTCACTTTGGCAGCATTTATACTAGTCTAGGATCCTCTCTCTCACAGTGGCCAACCGGTTCCTCTGGAGGTCCAACAACAGGGCGCAGAGGCCCAATGTTGCCTCCTAGAACTGGGCTTCAGAGGTTGACTGCCTCGGAATGTGGAGGTTCAATTGAGGTCAGGAGTACCTGTCTGAGTATATGGCCTCTTGGCAGGCCTCTGCCACACCAGGGAGGAGGAGGAGGATGAGGAGAAGAGGAGGAGATTGGATTTTTCCCCCGCCCTTCACTACCCGAAGGTGTCTCAAAGCGTCTTACAAACTCCTTTCCCTTCCCCTCCCCGCAACAGACACCCTGTGAGGTAGGTGGGGCTGAGAGAGCTCTGACAGAAACTGCTCTTTTCCTAAGAACAGCTGTGTCAGAATTATGGCTTGTCCAAGGTCATCCAGCCAGGTGCAAGTGGAGGAGTGGGGAATCAAAACCGGTTCTCCCAGATTAGAGTCCGCGCACTTAACCACTACACCAAACTCAGACCTCAAATACCAGTCTAGCTATGAAACACACCACTGAAAGATCGGTGGTGCCACGGAGGGAAAATCCCCTCTCCCACCCAAGCTGACAGAAGATCAGGGCAGAACTTAAACCAAAGCTTTATGAAAAATGGATTTCCCAGTAGGTTACTGTTCACACTCTGCCTGAGAAAAAAAGAGCTGGAACCATGGATAAATCTA